GCTGTCTTCTCAGGAGCCGTTGTTGGTTTGGGTGGAACACGAGGCACTGCAAACACAGTGAACTGCAGCTAAACGAGACGGGCATCTCCACCAAGCCAGCTGAGAAAACTTTAGCCACCACCTCCACATCCACAAGTGGAGGCACTCAGCCTTTTTTCTGCCCTTTATGTTGAGTTTCCTGAAATTGGCTGAAATTGTGTTCTTTGAGATATGTTTTTATGTATATTCCTACATTCATTGCTTTGAGGCCACCAGTCTTTTTCCTTCTTTTTCCTCTTTCCAGAAATTCCGATGTTGAGAGAAACAGGTATTTTAGGGTGTGTGCCTTTCTTTTTACATCAGCATGAATTACTTGAGAAAGAAGAAAGGAGGGAAAATAAAGGAGGGTGCCTTAAAGTTGTTCCCTGTGCATATAAATTTCCCTGAGATATAAATTTGTCAGTCTTGAGTGCATGAATATACACGCAGGAAAAGCAGAAATGTACATGCTGACAACCCACTTAGAAAGAGGTATAGATAATTAATATCTAACCATTCTCTTTTTTTATCCTCTTGTCATTTTAAAAAATAAAGGAAAATGCAGCACTTCTCAAAACCTCCATGCTGGAGAAGGATGGCATTAGCTACAGAACAAGTATGGATGTAGTAGCAGTTTAAAGGTGATAAATTTCTGGTCTGGGAAACAGTGTGATTTATGAGATACTTAGAAAGACAAATGTGTAACTGCCCTGTTTACACGTGGGGTAGTTAGAATGTATAGACAAAATTGCATTCTGCTTTATATTAGTCACTATTTGAGAAATTAGGAAATGCCATAGAGAATCTGATGTCACAGTAATTTAGATAAATAGAATGAAGAGGTGCAACAGGGTGTAAGAGCAGCAGAAAAAAGATATTAAAGGAGTTTTGTCCTTGTTTTCAAGAGGGCCCAAATCAGCTAAAGACATTACAGAAATACTGTGTAATGGCTACTACAGACAGATATGATGTAGAAAAAGCTCTCAGTATACTTGTAAAAATCACCAAAAAATAGGTAAAATAGTCTTTAGGTCTTTTCATGCACATTCCTTCCTGTTACAAATTGCAAATAGAGTCCTGCTTTGCTTTTTTAACTATTTTTCTCCACAATGAATGGCATTTTCTTCTTAACTTTAAAGTAAAAGCATTGAAATTAAATTAAGAAGCATATTAAAATACAATATATTAATGGTTTTTTCCTAAAGTTTTTCTACTTTTTTCCATGTTGAGTAAGGATTAAGAGACAGAATGTAGGCTGTTTATCTTGTACTTTTTCTTCTACTTAAGGTCAAAGTGATCTTCTTTTCCAGTAAGCACAGTGGGCAAGATTCTGATGTCACTAATACTAAAATTTTCCATTGATTTCAATGAATTTAGGAGCACCAGTGTTTATAAAATTCCACAGACTAATTTTCCTAAATCATGCACTTTACTTAGTTGTAGAAAAATCATACTCATAACTCTTAAGTGTTATGAAAACTTTGGATTTCAGTAAACTGCCTTCTAGCACAATGGTTTCTTAAAACACTGACACAGGAGATTGAGTTATGGACTGAACGTTCTGCAGAATCTGGAGCAAGATCAAGCTACTCTGCTGTTAAAAGTGAATAAATGGGACATTATTTCTCAAGACTTTTCTTTCAGTTCTGTGTTGTCCTTAAATAGTTTGAATTGTTGATGTTCTGCTACTTTCCTAAGATTTTTCAGTGTAGTCAAATCAATATGGAGAAATAACAGTGTGCAATTACAACTGGCTGAGCACTCTGGGCTTGATTCAACAAAGTATTTCATTGCAAGCTTTCCCTGCACACATATGTACACAATGATTTTAAGGGAGCTTTATGAATGCTCAAAATTAATCATCAATCATTAAACATATTAAAGCAGGTATCAAATTTTGCTACTTAAAGGAGCCCTTTGACCTTGTTTTAATGAGCAGTGTTTTGGATAATTAGGAGTCAAATGACCCAAATTCTACTGCAATGAGGAAACGTTGCCACACTGACAGCACCCAGCTGTAACATGTTATTCCTGAAGGTTGTATCATTGCTTGTACTGTGGGAGATGGTTTTATTTTTGTATCTTCTGTGCTCAGACAAACCAAAAAGCTTACACAGTGGTTTTAGTTATGAGAACTTTTGATTTGTCTATTCCATCTAGTTTGTCAGTAGTATGTTGCCCTAATATAAAGATTTAATATATAAATTCGTCTATATTATGAAATCCTGGAAACCTGTCAGTAGGAGTTCAGGTGCAAGATAAAAAGAGAAAAGTGCAGGTAAATGTTCAGTGTTTTTTATGCTATATTGGGTGTTTACTTTAAAAGGCAATACTGAGGGTTATCTCACAATCTGTCAACAACCTGTTTGGTTTTGCATTACCTTTTTGTAATACAACAGTGCAAGATACGATATGATTACTAACATAAGAAGGGAGATTGATGTCATTTTTGTGGTTTATATTTTCATAGAATCCTATGCTTTGGGTTGGAAGGGATCAGAAAGATCATGTTATTCCAACACCCTGCCATGGCCAGGGACACCTTCCACTATCCCAGGTTACTCCAAGTCCCATCCAACCTGACCTTGGACAATTCCAGGATGGGGCAGCCACAGCTTTTCTGAGCAACCTGTACCAGGGCCTCACTACCCTCACAGGGAAGAATTTCTTCTGAAATATCTAATCCAAACCTGCCCTCTGTCAGTTTGAAGGCATTCCCTGTTATCCCATCACTCCATGCCCTCTTCAAAAGTCCCTCTCCAGCTCTCTTGTAGCCCCTTTAGGCTGGAAGGTTCTCTAAGTTGCTATTTTCTTGGAAGGAAAGCATTCAAGTTATTTTGACAATGGTCCAACTCCATGTGATACTTAAAACAGAATGTCAAGGCCAGAATTCAACTCAAACAATTAACAAAAGTGAACTGGATGTTGTCAGATGTCGATGAATGAGAAAAAACTGGGTTGCTAGTTTTTGCTCACCTCCCCATTCACTGACCCTTATGTACTGGTTTATTCTTCAAATAAAACATGTACTGAAGCAGTTCATCCTTTCCCTCCCCAGGTGGTGCAGAAAGGTTTTAAATAAAAGCAGTAAGACCTTCACATGCAGTGGTGTGTGATACAGACATTTTAAGACCTACCATCTCCAGCAGGTTTCAGGACCTGGGATTTCTCCTGCCCAGCTGCTGGAGCCCAGTCTGACAAGCCCTCAGTGGGATTCTGGGCCCTTGGACCTGCTATATGATCTCCTACTTACCACCTAGTCATAGAATCACAGAATCATTAAGGTTGAAAAAGGCCTCTAAGATCAAGTCCAACCGCTTGTCCTGCACAGCTCCAAGAACACCCCAAATCCTGAAGTTCACCTTTTTCCTTTCTAAACAGCAGCACCATCCAGGTGAGCTCCCTCCAAAGCTCAGCCTGTAGTTCCTCAATGGGCCATCAGTTATGATCTGGAGACTTTTGCCCTTCATCATCACCTTATTTATCCCTTGTCCCTTTGTGTCCTTGCTTTTTGTTTATCCCTTTCCTTTTTATTTCTAATCCCCTTTAAATTAAAACATCCTTGATCTTGTAACTTTAATGAGACAGATGCTCTCACATTCCATGTACCTCCAACAGTCTGTATATCAAACGTTTTTGAAAAGCACTTTCCAAGTAGAGTTTACGAGTGCATTAGAACTTGCCTGCACCTCAGCAGCCCTATAAATTTATCAGGTAACATTTCTCATAAATGTGTACAGCCCAGTGTATTCCAGCTCTAGTGATACTCAGTCCATTGCCCTTTCCATCAAACATCATCCTGTGAAACATCAGTAAATAAGGGGTAACTGTGCATTTCGTGAGACTGACTTTAAATTTAGTAAACATTTTTATCATTAAAGTGAGTATACTGGCATTGCCTTACACCATTTTTCATTGTCAGTGCTGAAATATGAAGTTTTCACATTTACTGGTTTTATGTTTCCTTCTTTCTAAAAATTTCTGTTGAGTTGGATGTATTTTACATGAGCCTTCAAAGATATGTGTCAGGATATAGAGATAAACAGTGTGGTCTGACAAATTAGCCTTTTCACATCATCATTACCTTTTCCAGCTCAACAGTGCTCATACTGAAATAAAGGTTTCATCCTGTTGCAGTGAAAAGAAGGAAGGAATTTGTTCCTTTGTCCTCATTTATTGGTTATCCTCATTTACTGATGAATAAGACCACAGGAGTATATTTATTAAGAACTGTGTTTTAGATCAAAGTTTTAATGATGGTTTCAGAATAGTATATCCACAGATATTTTTTACTTTTATAGCAGAAGTATTTCCACTTATGTTGTCCTAACTTATTTCCAGATGATGATAAGCTAGGAATATTTATAGGTTAGGAAAGGCATGTAAGAGCAGAGCAGGCATAAAGCTGCACAGCAAACATACACAGTGAAGCCTCTCAGCGTCTGGAATTCAGTTTGTGCTTTAGGGCCCCCCTGAAAGATGACTATATCCTCATCTTTGTGCTCAGTAGCTCCCAATAGATCTCATCAAGTCCACCCAAATGTCCTTATTTTCTTGTACAGTCCTGGAATTTTTCCCCACCATCCATCTTACCACTCACAACGTCCCCTGTGCTTCCCATCATTCTTAAAATAATATACACACCCAGAAAATGCTTCTGTCATCTAAATATTTAATTCAGAACCTCTGAGAACAAGGATGTAAAGGCTATATATAATTAAACAGTGCTAGATCACTAATTAACTAAACAATGCCAGAGCACCATTTAACTAAACAGTGCTGAATCACCAACTTAGACATTGTCCCTCTTTTATGTACAGATAACTGTTAGCACACTCTGGCATAACATGGGTTTGCACCAGCCCATGGTTCTTGTAGCAGCTTTTGCGCATGATTTGGAAAGCCAGTATGGAAGAGACCCCATGCTCCATAGGCAGCATGGATGAGACCTCTCTGGTTTAGGGATAGAAGAATTTTGCCATATGGACACAAACAGGGCTGTAGTGTTGGAGCTGGATGTGATGATCCTTGTGTTGGAGCTGGATGTGGTGATCCTTGTGTTGGAGCTGGATGTGGTGATCCTTGTGGGTCCCTTCCAGCTCGGGAGATTCTCTGATTCTCTAAGATGCCTCATTTTGTTTGCTGGTAAAGACTTGGACCACAGAAATTCCTTTTTGCCTACACGTGTGAGAAACCCTGAGATGCCTCTGCCTTGAGATTCTCCTTCAAAGAGGAAGAATTCTGGGCTCTGATTCCAGGACTGTTCATGTTCTGAAACTAATTTGATAGCCTCTGGAGGGTTATGGGCTGCTAAGCTTTAGCAGTAGCTGAGATGATGTGTTTTGAATGTCACCTTTAGACTTCAGTATCTCCAAACAAGCTTCACAACTGGAGGTCAATGGTAATGCTGAGATACCAAAAATAATCACAGAATCACAGAATGGTTTGGTTTGAAAGAGAACTTAAAGATGATCAAGTTCCAAACCTCCTGCCATGGACAAGGACACCTTCCATTAATCAGCCTTCTCATTGCCATTAACACAAATCTCAGTATTTTTTCATTTCCTCATTTACTAAATTAAAATTTTTTCACCCTAGCAAGTGCTTGTATATGGAACAGCTTCCAAGTCCCAACGCTTGCACTCCTCTCTTTCCATTCACATATGTCCTGTAGGTCAACAACTTCCACAAACCACATATGTAGAACCCAGAGGGAAACTCAGACAATTCCTTAATAGCCCTACACTAAAACAATGCCTGGAATGGAGGAATTCTGAAAACAGCTGTAATTCTTCATCCTCAGTGTAATTTATTTCTCCTTTGGGCATTTGAACTCAGCCCCACATCAAAGCTGCACAAGGAGTATGATACTGTGTTCATGGCAGCAGAGGACAGATCATGGACAAGCAATGGCTCAAACCAAATGCCACAGTGTCCAAAAAGATAATAAACAACTACATTCTAAAACAATATTTTATGTATAGAACTCATGAAGTCTTTGGCAAAATAAATTGATGATAAAAAAAATTAGTGAGTTGGCCCAGTCTAACATCTAGGGATGATGAATGTAGTGAAAGTGAGGGAAGAGACTCCTTGGGTAGGAGGCCACTTTCTGGCCTCCTTAGCCAAAACTAACTGGAAGCTAAAAATGATCTATGATGTAAAGGGGAAAATGTGTTTGATTACTTCAATAAACTCTCAGTGCTGAAATATCGCACTGAACTTTTTATGGCTTCCAGTAAAATAGAAAGGATTTGTTCAAGAGGAATGATGGGGAAAAGGTCCTGATCCTACAGTGTCTTTTCCATGGGGAGTGGATTCCATCAGCATACCTGGGTGGGTGATCCATGCTGTCTTTTCCAGCAAAGGGTCACACAGATGACGAAGGAACTGAAACACTGCTCCCACAAGGAAAGGCCAAGAGATCTAGAACTGATCAGTCTGGAAAAGGGAAGGATCTCATCAAAGTGCATAAATACCCAGAGGGAGGGTGCAAAAAGGATGGATCCGGGTTCATTCCAAAGGGAGGAAGGAGCAGAAAAGGATCCTAAAAAAGGCTCAGCATGTCCCACCAAAGTCAGTTTAACATGTCCAGCCTAGGCTGAACCCCCTCATTTTCCCCTGTTGGTTATTGCTCTGTTTATCTGGTTGGCAAAGATCAGTTCGTGTTACATGGAGTTGCAGACAGCTGGACTGACAAATACATTTCTTACATGTGCATCCACAGTTGCTAGTCTAGGCCTTTTGAGCCTGGGTTTGTCCTGCCTTGTTCTTGAAGTGGTCTGAGAGCACCCAAAATTTCTCTCTTTTTTTTTTTCCTTTTTTTTTTCCCCCTGCTTCATGGTCCTGTGGGAATTGTGCAGTGTGGAGTTGTTTGTGTAACCTTGGGCTCTACCTTGAGCAGTTTGGTTTTTCCACATATAGAACACTTTTGATCAGTTTAGTGAGTCATGAGTATAGATAAGTTGTATTGATACCAAATTTAGACACAGCTTCTTACCAGATATTTTAGTATAAAAAGATATTTTCTTGGAAAAAATGTGACCACTTCTTTAAAGATGCTTCGGTTTCTGGTTCTTCTGAGTTGCCTGGGTAAGGTGTAATTTATCTGAGCTGGGAAGGGTGAACCTCTCAACCTCTAAGTGATGGAGATTAGAGCATATAATTTTTTTGTTTCTCTGCAGTTACTGTGCTAGGGCAAACCCTGATGTGGCAGGGTTTTCCTCTGTTGCAGGAGCATTATCTCCATGAGAAAGGTCTGGAAGTGCTCTGAGGGAAGGGAAACCTACAGCCTAAAAGAAAGAGGATTTAGGTTGGTGCAGCAGGGTGGGGTTGGAGTATGGGGAATGAGTCAGTTTATATGATAGCTTTGTATCTTAAGGCCTGGTTTTGGTAGTTTTCAACCACGGAGGCTTTAAAGAAGCCTCCAGGATGGAGAGTGACCACAGTGTCACCACGTGCAAGTCTCAGTCACTCCATCTTTCAGACCTGGCTGGCTGGGATGACTGATGCTCTTTAGGAGTCCACATGACAAACTGCTCTCCTTTTTTTTGTGTGTGTTAGGGGCAATCTCTGGAGGTCCCCTGAGGGGCACTCTTCAGCAGGATGTGCTGACAGGGCGAGTAATTGGAGGCCACGAAGCCCAACCAAACAGCTGGAAGTGGCAGGTAATACTGGTGTGCCTTATACTTGAAAAAAGCCTTATATTTGAAAACAAAACCCCACATCAGTGAGAAAAGGACAGCTTCTGCTGTCCAAAGCCACATACACTGTTTCTGCAGAGAAATGGCATGGTTTGGGTGTAAAATATGTTGCTGTTTCCTCCAGGTATCACTTCAGATTGCCTACCCTAACGACCCGGGGTACTATGCTCACATTTGTGGTGGAACCCTTATCAGCAGCAAGTGGGTCATGACTGCAGCCCATTGCCTCAGCGTGTGAGTAGGATAAAAAGTGTTAAAACTCCTGATGTGCTCCTCATTCTTGCTGCAGATGGGAGCCAGACCCTTCTCATCCTCTGAGCTCCCCACTGGTGCCATGCCTTGCACAGCTGGACGTCTTGTTGCTCACTTAATCAAGGGAACTGGAAAACTCTGTTTGCTTTAGCCTTGGTTTTACATAGTAATTGCTGACTTCCTGGGAGCGGAAATCAAGCTGATTGCTGATTTGCATAAGAGGAGGTGTATTTGCATGAGTGTGAGCATTTCACATGGGTTTGCATCCCGAGAAACCTGCACAGAGATGGAAAGATGGAACAAAAGGCATGTTTGCTGGCACCTGAGCTGTGCTGTACAACATGCTCTGCAGCAGGTCTGACATGCACCGCCTCAGCAATACAGCGGGACACCAACAAGCTGTAACACCAATAAGTGTAACAAGCTGGTCCTTCACACTCTGTTTCAGAAAGATGCAGAGATGCAGAATGAACCTGCTTGTTCAAGGCCAAGCTCAGCACTGTGTCAGCTGATGCTGCACCTTCACTTGCTTCACCAGCAAACTGCAGGCAGCATGTTCCTAATTCCACTTAGAATCATAGAGTCATAATTTAGGTTGGAAAAGTCATCTAAAATCATTGAGTCCAGTTGTTAAACCAACACTGCCAAGCCCACCACTAAACCAGGTTCTCAAGTGCCACATCTACACGTCCTTTAAATCCCTCCAGGGGCTATGAGTCCACCACTTCCCTGGACAGCCTGTTCCAATGCCTGACAACCCATTCAGTGAAGAAATTTTTCCCAGTATCCAACCTAATCCTCCCCTGGTGCAATTTGAGGCCATTTCCTCTCATTCTGTCACTAGTTACCTGGAACAAAGACCAATTCCCATCTTGCTAGAACCTCCTTTCAGGTAGCTGTAGAGAGCAGTAATGTTTCCTCTAAGCCTCCTTTTTTTCCAGGCTAACCACTCCCAGTTCCCTCAGCTGCTCCTCCTCAAACTTGTGCTCCAGAGCCTTCAGCAGCTTTGTTGCCCTTCTCCAGACTTGCTCACAACAAATTTAGCTACATTCCATTGAAAATCCTTTAATGGAAGGTGCTTTGGAAATTATTGCACTGGTGGAAGTATTTACACTGCAAAGCACTCGGTGGGGAGTAGTTTTTACATTAATTATTCTGTGATTGGTTTTCAGGCCCCCAGGAGCATCCTACCGTGTGGCTCTGGGTGAGCACAACCTCCTGGAGGTGGATGGCACAGAGTACTACATTGATGTGGTTGCAATCTTCATTCATGATGGCTGGAATCCCAGTGACATTGCCAATGGGTAATTATTTTGAATAACATCAGATGGCTGAATGTTATTTAGCATCCTGTCCCACTAGCGTGCGTATTCAATCCAATTCCCAGTGAGGCTGGATTTGTGGGAAGCACTGAAAGATGGTGCAAGGGAGATTTCCCAAGCAGCTTCCTCTCTTGGAGGTGTTCCATGGTGTCTGTGTGGATGACCTCAGTCCTGCTTTGTCCAAGGTGGAGAAAAGATGGGCCTCTTTTCCCCATCTTGGAAAAAAATGAATGGATCTTGGATGCACAGTGGATTCAGGGGCTTGCCAGCAGTCACAGCCCTGTGTGCATCTGATGAAGGGAAACCAACAAGGGAATACTGAAGGACTGTCTTAAATCACCCCTCAGAGACATGCCCGTCCACCCAAGATGCACTAAAATTCACCCAGAGGTTGGAGAGCTCCAAAGCCGTAGGAGGTTTTTGAGGGATATTAGCCCTTTATCAGTCTGTACTATGGCCTCTTCTCTCCTAACTGCTCCTATTTTCCTGTTGCCTGTGATACCTATAAGGAATAATTAATGATGTTTGCAAGGTGCATCATGCCAGGATGTCTGGTTTACGACCGATTCAGGATTTTCAGTAAGGAATCTTTCCCCTACATCCTGTTTCAGCTATGACATTGCCCTGCTGCGCCTCGAGTCTCCTGCCAATGCCAACGGGTTTGTCGAGCTCGGAGTGCTTCCACCTGAAGGAGAAATTTTGCCCAATAACTACCCCTGCTATGTCACCGGCTGGGGGGTGGTTAGTGGTAAGTAAGGGGGAAGTAGGAGTGTTGAGGGTCCCTCCTGATTCCAGAGGGACCGCTGTGAAGGTAAAGCTTCCTTCCTCAACCCCTGGAGCTCCTGGATCATTGTCTCCTCCTTTTCCTGCTAGCGGGGGGCGGCAGCGCAGACAGGCTGCAGGAGGTGATGCTGCCGGTGGTCGACCACGAGACCTGCTCCCAGGATGATTGGTGGGGATCCCTGGCAAAGGACACCATGCTCTGTGCAGGTGGAGATGGCGTGAAGGCTGGATGCAGTGTAAGAGCTGTTGTTATCAAAGCATTTTTAAGCTCCTCTCTGTTTTTTTCCTGTCTCTCTGACCTTGCTGTTCCTTCACTTGGGACCTGTTTTTGCTATTTCTCCACCTGGAATAGCTCTCCTGCAAATCCTGGCCCCTTTGCTGATTTCTGCTGAATACCTCCCAAACCAGACCTGCCCCACATTCCTCCATCTCCCCACAGCAGAGAGAAAACCTTCAAGTCCTCAGGGTGTGCCTCTCCCCTCTGATTTTGGAGGGGAGGTTTGCCCTGTCTTCCAGCAGCGTGTCCCATGGACCAGATCCTGGGGACTAGGTTGAAACTTTGGCAGTTGCCTCTGCCCTCACCCAAAGGGCGAAGCTGTGGGGAATTCAGTCCATTCCTCCAACACTGCTGTCACATTGCACCCCGGGCCAGGCAGTGCTTCCCTCTGCTTGTCCATCCTTCCCTCCCCTTCCGCTCTGTTTGCATGGACAGCTGAATTTGCTGGAAGTTTTGACCATGTCCAACTGCACTATCTGGCCCCAGGTTGGGTGGGAAAGGAAGATGCTGTGAGGTTCTCATTATCCCAGAGGTTCCAGGTGGCCCCAACATCAAGGCAAGGAGGTTTGGCATGTGAAGGCAGGGAATACCTGTGACCTCTGCCTGTATTCCCTTCGCTGCAGAGGTGGCTTCTGGTAAGAGCCACCATGCAGAGCCCTTAAAAAATTGTGGACAAATACATAACATGTTTGATTATGTAAAGATATGAAATAATAGAGACACATATAGAAATAAAACAGGTTAAACAGTTATACATATTTCAATTACATTATATAAGGTAATTATAGGTCTGTAGATATTTAGTGTACTTTTTTTGGTGAGGTTTAATTATGTCAGAACCCTGTTAAAAACCAGGTCCCGAGCCAAGCAAAAGCCTTTATCTTCTCATATATTTTAATCCGAGTTCCTTTCTTTTTCACCACTTTAACTTCCTGGGACTCTTTGTATATACATGTTTGTGAAAAACAAGGGGAACAGCATTTCCCTTCTCCCTGGTCCCTTACAACTGGAGAGTGCACTGATTTTTTAACAGAGATGCTGGGCAGGTGGACCTTGCAGGAAAGGATTGTGTTTTATGCACTGTGCCCTGGACCATTTGCTTACAGTCACTAAATTTGCAGTGGTGGCAAATTAGGGTTTCAGCCCATCCTGGGGGTATATGTGTGCATGTATGTGTGTGTATGTGTATGAGGACTGAGATAACATATAGAGGGGCTGATTTTTGCAGCAATTCAGAAGGTGCTGGGCAGTCTCTTCTTTCACTCTGCTGGGGACCAGTCAGAAAGCAGCACAAATTTTTATTTTCATGTTTATTTTCATGTTTATTTCCATGCTCCTTAATCCCATCCAGTCTTCCAGCTGCTCAGATAATTTAGCTCAATATGTTCCTTTCCTTCCTCTGATCCAGGGGGATTCTGGGGGCCCTCTCAACTGCTACAAAGATGATCACTGGGAAGTCCATGGGATTGTCAGTTTTGGGTTAGTACCCTACTGTAACACCTACCAGAAACCAACAGTCTTCACTCGAGTGTCAGCCTATGTGGACTGGATCTACAGTGTAAGTTGCTTAACGCCTATGAGGTGACCTGGTTCATCTCCCAAGAAAGCAAGGAGTTGCCAGGGGAATTGGAGTCTTTCATTTATTAGACCATTAGGAGTCAAGCTGGGAAATCTGGAGAGGTCCAAAATCAGGATATTTGATGTTACTTCTGGTGTAATCAAACAACAGTAAGGAAGGAGCTGCTGCCTTGGAGCTGCAACGCTCTGCTGAGGACCGTGGACAAAATTCAAGCCAGGCAGGAACTGGGCTCCAAGTCCAAAACATTGTCATCATCATTCACCCAGACAAAACCTTGCTGGAGGAAACCATGGAAGGAATCAGCTGAATGGGAAATACAGCAACCATAAAGTATTTCTGCAAGTCCAAGTCCTACAGTGCTGCACTATTCACCCTCAGCATCACATTGGGGAATGAACAACTAGCCCTTTGCTCCCAGAAATTATGATTGGCACGAGGAGCAGCCTCTTCCCAGGCACAAGGGATGGTTATGTGGAAAGGCAGCTGCAAACTATTAGTCATGCTGAAAAGAAAGGTGGAGAGAGGTATTTTAAATCAGTGTGAGGAAGGGGGAGGTTACTGTGGTCCATAAACCATTTTGGGTGGGAACAGATTTTTAGAGCAATCTCCTGGCCCAGCTGAGAACAAACCTTTCTTCAGAGCATCACCTGGGATAGAGACATGCCTTACTCTGGCTCTCTACTGAATTAATCTCTTTTGTGTTTTCCAGACTATGGAGAATAACGGGGGGTTCTAGAGAAGGATCAACTGGTGTATGAATATGAGAGATTATAATGAAGAATCTCTGCTCATTAACCCTCCTCTCATCCTTTCTGCGCTCTCTGGGCTACTAACAGCAAGGTTTGGCTAATAGGGTAATAAAGTCTCAGTGACTGCAACCAGTGACCCATTGCTGTGTTTGCTCAGCCACAGGCACAGCTCAGACCAGGCCAGCAGAGAAGGAGACTCCAGTGAGTGCTTCAGTGATGGTGTCCTTAACTTGGGGCTGGGCCATGGCAGCAAGCACAGCTCCTCAGGGCTGTCATTTTGACACCAAACCCACCCTGAAGATGACCAGGATGGGTTTTTCTCATTGAGGGTTTCCTTAGGGATAACCCCACCATTGGCAAAGGTGGTCAGCTCAGTGCTTCCTGGTCAGTGGGAGCAGAGCAATGTGTGACACTGCCGGGCACAAGTATAAATATTCCTATTCTGTTCTGTTCTCAGAGCAGCCAAGCAGTTTTGCTTGCAGAACTGGGTTATCTTCATATTCCTAAACAAACAGCCTCAATACAGCACTGCTCATACAAAAACCATCTGCCTCAAGTGTAGTGGCAAACTCAACCCACAGAAAGAACAATCCATCTAACTTATTCTTAAATCCACTCTGTACAGGATGACAATTTTTAAAATAAATTTTATAAGACTAAGAGTCCAGAAAAGGGCATTTCTGGAGGGTGCTTTTCTAGAGAGGAAGCAACAAATTCAGTGTTAAACAATCCCTTGTGCTGTTAGGTGTGCAGGGGCCTCAGCCAGCTGGGCAAGCCTGTGTGCAGTGCATAATATTTCCAAATAAAAGCCATCTCCCTATTAGACACACAGCAGGGTTGGTAAAGGGAGGGGAGGAGGAGGAGAGAGAGGTGTATGTGCACAATAAAGCAGGATTTGTCTTTTCATGAACTATAAAACCATCCCTTCCCCATCCCTGGACATGTTCAAGGCCAGGTTTGATTTGAGCTTGGCCTAGTGGAAGGTGGCCCTGCCCAAAGTAGGGGTGTTGGAAGTGGATGATCTTTAAGGTCTTTTTGAACCCAAATCATTTTATGATTCTGCGAACTGCAAACCACCTTCTTGGAAAACACAGGGAATCCCACAACCTTCCCTTTCCCCCTTTTGCTGTGTATGAGATGCACATTTATGGATGAAGGGTCTTGATTTAGCTCTTCTATCATTCTAAACCACCTGTGTCCCCTCTCTCCCAAACCCTGCACACACCTGGGGCATAGCAGGATTTTAGCAAAATCCTCGCTTTGTGGAATGCACATTTCTCCTCTCCAAAAGCCACTAGAGGGCATTGGCCAACCGAAGGAATATCCAACACGGTTACCACCAACTGCTAAAGGACTTTTGCGGGCCAGGAACGGTGACACAGCCTGTCTCAGCCTTGCACTCTGTCCTCCCTGTTTGCTTGCAGACCCATAGATAAGCAATGACGCACAGGAGCTGCTTTTCGCCGCCGTTATCCAGAGCTCTGATCTGCAAACAGATAAATCTTCCTTGTTACAGCAAACGAAAATGAAACCAGCAGCACTTTCTTTAAGGCTTGTGGAGGAGCAGAGTCCTGGCTGTGTTTTCGACACTCAGTTTTATGGGCTGCACTTGGCAGTGTCTCCTGGGCACTCAGTATTTTGGCAATTCTCCTCTTCTGACAGGTTTAAAAAAACCCTGAATCTCAGCTTTTCTACTTTTTAATATTGCTGAATGGTTCTTGCTTCTTGTAAGACAGCACGTGTGATTTCTGCTGCTAGACTATAAATCATAGAAACACAGAATGGTTTGGGTCGGAAGGGATCTTAAGGATCATTTCATTCCAACCGCCCACCGTGGGCAGGACACTTCTGAAAGAGCCTGGAGCTGTTGGGCTCAGTAATGTCCCTTCTAAGAACAACTGCACAGCCACGTGTCAGGAGCATACCGGCACCTGAAGTCTTGCCTGACTATATTCAAGTTTTGCCTCTGAGCTTCAGAAGGAATTAAAAAACACAGATCATAGGCTTTGGGAAATAAGATCTTTTTAAAGGGAACATCTCAAACCGCTTCCAAGAATTACTCAGATGCTGAGAAGTGAAGTCTTAGAGTGCCTGGTGGTTTTGCAGAGTGCCCGATGCCTGGGCTGGGTGTCTAACCCCTTTGTACTTGGTGCATGGGCCATGGGGGAATTTTGGGGATGTCACATGGGGTCACAATTTCTAATCAGCCTCCATTCCTGGCCAGAACTGAGCAGAGCTGGGAACCACTGGGGATATTGCTGCTACCGGGACCACATTAGGAATTTAGTGAGTATGCCTGTGCCTTGACCCAACGCTAAACACCAGAGCCATCCCCCATCTGTCCCCTGATGTGAGAGTAGTGACAGGCTGCCCCTGCTCCTGCCCACAGCCCTGGTCTCCACAGGGCAGCTGTGGTCATCGGGTGCTTGAAACCTCTTGTCACAAGCTTCTCTGAAAGCCAGACTGGACATTGCTCCTTTAAATTCTTCCTCCACATAAGCAAGACCTGGACCTGTTCCTACAACATCCAGGAGGAAAAACCTCAGGCTGCACCCACAGGAGCGGGAGAATCAGGTGCTGGAGACGTACAGCCCTAATTCAGGGTCATTATCACATCCCCGGTGCCAAGAGCAGCGTTTCTTTCCGTGTTTCGATGACAGGAACAGCTTGTGCTGCTCAGCTGTGATTTATGGCGCAGGATAAGAGGGAGGCGGGAGCCTGGCAGCACACGGGTAGGGCACGTGTGCTTCTCCTGTGCCCTCATTTGCCTCTCACTATCCAAGTGCCTGGATAGAGCTGCTTGTTCCCTGGCTCTGCCGGGCAAAGCTGTGATCTCGGGAAGCCTGTGGAAAATGTGGTGCTTCACACGGGGTTTACTGTGTGGAGATGGCAGGTGTAACAGCAATATGTCCACATCCTTTTCTCCAAAACTCAGAGGTGAGGGTGCAACTAAACCAGGGAATGAACTAGATTTTTGAAAACTGGTGCTCCCCACATCTTTGTGGAGAGCAGAAAAAGGAGACAACCGTGGCAACAGAACTATCTGTTGGTCCCACCACGTGTAGGGTGTTCAATGAGGTGTAGGACCAGCCACAACACATTGAGCTATCTGGGGAGGTAAGGCTGTAGGAGCTGTGAAACACAGTGTGGGGGTGCAGGTATCAACTTAGTGCTGTTAGGGATGTCTGAGGACAACCTGTCCCATCCCATTCTGCTGCATCAAAGGGGCACAGATTTGCCTTGTCACCTCACCAGCCCCATGGGGATGTCTTCATACCCTTGAGCGCCTCAGCTGGCCCAAAACACAAACAGAGCTGAAGAGCTTTAAAATCACACAGACATAAGCTCAGCAACAGGACCCTCAGCCACACCACAGCTGCATAGAGATTTTCTGGTTATAGATATCTCCTCGTCCAAATCCTACCCTGGGGCTGCTGTTCTTTATCACAATAACCTCCAAAATCTCTATAGTTGAAATTGTACCACTCCACCAATCATTCCCTTGCTCACTTGCAGGCAAAAGTGATGGATATTGCGAGTGTGGCTACAAGAGGCTCCCTTGCCTCCTGACAGCTTTTCAGCCCTAATAACCAGAGAGCACTTTGGGATGCTTTGACTATGAAAAGCACTTAAGGACCATTAAGTTCTCATCTCTATTTACTACAAAGTAGCAGCCAAGTATTTATTTCCAGAGAAGTGTAATAGATAATAATTTCCCATGCAGTGTATCTCAGGGGAGCAGGTTTATTTTAGAGGTAGATCCTTCTGTGGTATTCATCCTGATGGCAGGGTTCTCCTGTAATGTTTTACCCCTGGTGTGTAGCTCATGTGGTCCCCAAGAAATCAGGTTCCCAGGCAATTTCAAGTCTTTCAGCCTCCTCAGCTGGACTGACCTGAAAGTCCCCAAAGCCTCTGCTTGTGACAAAATATTTCAGCTCCACTGGTTGCAGATATTCCCACTTTGGTGAGTTTCATGCACAAATCGATGTAATGGAGCCAGGTATGCCCAGCACTGGCATTTTGGTCCCTCACACAGCTTCCCTGGTCAAAATGTAGGTGCACCTATGGGGTTTTTTTGAGCACTTGCCTTATGGAGATGGTTTCATCCAGCTGAGGATGCGTGTGCCAGGCCAGATGTGGAAACACAGCCAAGCCCCAGGACATGTCCACCTCTCCTCCAAACCAAAGTGTGTCTTTTAAGCCTTATTTCATTTTATTTTAGTGTGATATCTTAGTGACATACATGGTGCTTCTGGTCCCACAGAGGAGGACAAGCATTGCCCAAGAGCACTTTGGCCAGCTGAGAGATTGGGAGAAGGAGGCAGCTGCCCAGTAGATGGCAATACTGCCATTCAGTCAGCAGCAGGCTTGGAGGGATAAAACAAGCTGATGGAAATGTGTGGATTAAGCAGCACTGAAAACTCCTAGTGGTCATAGCTGTGAAGGAGTCACAGAGTCATAGAATCACAAAATGGTTTGGGTTGGAAGGGGCCAGAAAGATCATGTAGTTCCAGTGTTCCTGCCATGGAGAGGGATTCCTTCAACTAGACCAGGTTGCTCCAAGCCCCATCCAACCCGGCCTTGAACACTTCCAGAGATGGGGAATCCACAACTTCTCTGGGCAGTGTCTCACATCCCTTACAGGGAAGAATTTCTTCCCAATATCTAATCCAACCCTGCCTTCTTTCAGTTTAGAGCCATTCCCCCTTTTCATTTTAAAGCCATTTCCCCTTGTCCCATCACTATGTGCTCTTGTCCAAAGTCGCTCTCCAGCTCTATTTGAAGCTACTTTAGGCACTGGAAGGGGCTCTGAGGTCTCCCTAGATCTTTCTCTTCTCCATGCTGAACACTCCCAACTCTCCCAGCCTGTCTCCAGAGCGAAGGTTCTCCAGCCCTTGGAGCATCTTTGTGTCTTCCTCTGGACTCGCTCCGGCACGTCCACGTCCTGGAAGCATCAGAGTTTACCACAGCCTCTGTGCCAAGAGGA